GGACCCGCATTAATCAAGCGGCTATTAAAGCACTTGAGGAAACGGCCCGTACTCAAAATCAGGCCAATCCAGTTGCGTGGGCTGCAGCCCATTATCCAAATGTCGATCCAAATTGGAACGTGAATGGTGCTGACATGCCCCAACTAAGGGCTAATCGGGAAGCCATAATTGCTGGCATGAAGGAAGGAGGGAAAAAGGCAATTAATATGTCAAAGACGGCTGAGGTGTTGCAAAAGGTTGATGAGTCACCTAGTACCTTTTATGAGAGATTATTGGAGTCATATAGGTTGTATACTCCTTTTAATCCAGAGGCTCCTGAGAATTCTAGGATGATTAATTCAGCATTTGTCAGCCAGGCCCAAGGTGATATTAAAAGGAAATTACAGAAATTAGAGGGATTTGTAGGGATGTCCATATTACAGCTAATGGAGATTGCAAATAAAGTATATATGAATAGGGAGACGGAGGTAAAGCGGGAAGAAGAATGTAAGATGAGGAAAAAGGCAGATATGCTAGCGGTAGCTATCTCAAGTGTAGAAAGACAGGGAAGGGAAGTGAATAGAGGAGACGAGAATAGGCTGAGCAAGGGACCTTTAAGTAGGAATCAATGTGCGTATTGTAGAAAGGAGGGACATATGAAGAGTGAGTGTCCACAGAGAGAGCAGTATGAAGGTGATAGATATGGAGAGAGAAGGGTACGAGGAGGTTATAGTGGTAGTTATAGAGGAAGAGGAAGTTTTAGAGGGAATGGTGGGAATAGTAGAGGAAGTGTTCAAGGAGACAGATACTATCCACCCACGCAGAGACCTAGAGAAAGAGAGGATAGAGATTTTGTGGGTCTGGCTGACACTATCATGGAAGACTATTGATACCGACCGGGCTCCATCCCCCTTGGTCAAGCGGAGTCTATGGTTGATGTAGCAATAGGGGGAATACCTAATGGATCAACATCTCTGAAGTTTAAGGGATTACCAGGCATAATGGCGATATCGGTGCCAAGGGAAGAAGAATGGCGCTTCTATTCCATAGTGACAAGTGTTAACCCTAAGAGTGATGAATCCTTACTTGACATTCCAGGAGTATGGGCAGAGAATAATCCACCAGGACTTGCTCGTAATATCCCACCCATACATATTGAACTAAAGCTTGGGGCCTATCCTGTGAGCCTACGTCAATATCACATACCCCAAAAGGCTAAGGAAAACATACAAACCTACTTGGATAAGTTTGTAAGGTATGGCATCCTAAAATTCTGTACTTCCTCCTGGAACACTCCATTATTACCTGTTCAAAAACCAGGATCGGACGAATATCGTCCTGTACAGGATTTGAGAGCAGTTAATGATGCAGTAGTTAATATACACCCAGTTGTACTCAATCCTTACAATCTGCTTGCCTTGATACCAGGTGGGGCAACCTGCTTTCTTTTGTCTTCGAATTGCTGCTGAGAGTCAACATATCTTTGCTTTCCAATGCGAAGATGCTGTTACGGGTTCAAAGTGTCAGATGACCTGGACCAGACTACCTTAAGGGTTCAAGAATTCACCTACCCTATTTGGATCCGCATTAAGCCAGGATTTGCAAGATTTCAAGTCCATCCCAGGAGAATGTGTACTACTTCAATATGTGGATGATCTATTGATAGCAGCTGTTACTAAAGAGATATGCCAACAAGCCACTTATGATTTGCTTCATATTCTATGGAGAGCAGGATACAAGGTATCGAGGAAGAAAGCACAATTGTGCCAGCCAAGTGTTAAATATTTAGGATTCCATGTATCCGAAGGTCAAAGAATGATGGGACCTGAAAGAAAAGAAGCAGTGTGTCGGATATCTATACCTAAGAATAGAAGACAAGTGCGAGAATTCTTAGGAGCGGCAGGATTCTGCAGGATATGGATTCCTAATTATGCAATATTGGCGAAACCTCTATATGAAGCTGTGAAAGGAACAGAACATGATTCCTTTTTGTGGACCTCTGAACAACAGAAGGCATTCGAAGATGTTAAGAAAGCACTAATGAGTGCACCAGCCTTAGGTCTACCAGATCATACACGTCCTTTCTATCTGTATGGCAAGAAGAATGGCTGTGGGAGTATTAACTCAATACTTGGGATCATGGCAAAGACCTGTAGCTTACATGTCCAAACAGTTGGATGCAGTGGCCAGTGGTCTTCCACCTTGTCAGCGAGCAGTGGCTGCTGCTGCCTTACTGGTAGCAGAAGCTGACAAGCTCATCTTGGGTCAGGAACTCTATGTGAGAGTACCTCATTCAGTACAGACCCTCTTGGATTATAAGGGAAATCATTGGTTTAGCAACAGTCGAATGACCAAATATCAGTCTGTGTGAAAATCTAAGAGTACACCTCGAAACTGTCAACAATTTGAATCCAGCTACCCTTTTGCCTCAGACTACTGAAAGTCAACATGATTGTTTGGAGATAATGGATGAAGTGTTTTCAAGCAGGCCTGATCTTCATGATTTTCCCATCCAGGCCTGATCTTCATGATTTTATACTGATGGTAGTAGTTATGTGAAGGAAGGTGTACGTTATGCAGGATATGCGGTAACGACTATAGATAAGGTGATAGAAGCACGGCCACTAAAGCTTGGGGCCTATCCCGTGAGCCTACGTCAATATCACATACCCCAAAAGGCTAAGGAAAACATTGGAATGTATGTGGTAATCTTAAATGGGAACGAACTTGGAATGTATGTGGTAATCTTAAATGGGAACGAACTTATGGGTTTAATGATAAATACTTATGTCCCAGTAAAAGATCTACTGATCCTGATTGCCCAAATAGAGATTATAATTTTTGTCCCTATTGGTCTTGTGTAGGGTGGGCAACCTGGGGAAAAGGGCAAAAGGGACATCAGCACAGAAGCCGGAACTGATTGCATTAACCAGGGCTTTGCAATTAGCTGAAGGGCTGAGAGTGAATATCTACACTGATTCGAAGTATGCTTTTCTAACCACCCATGCACATAGAGCATTGTATAAAGAAAGGGGATTGCTGAATTCAGAAGGAAAAGAGATCAAGTATGCAGCTGAAATACTCCAACTGTTAGAGGCGGTATGGGAACCGAAGGAAGTCGGTATTATACACTGTAGAGCACATCTGAGGGGTGATAGTGATGTCATCAAAGGAAATTGCATGGCCGACAACGCAGCAAAACATGTCGCTGAATCTGGGCAAGAGGAATATGGGGGATATGTCGCAGCCCTTGTACCGGCACCTCTGTCTCAATGGACTCCAATATATACAACCCAAGAGATGGAGTGGTTGAAGACTGAAGCTGGGAAATATCTGGAGAATAACTGGTATCAGTTAGAAGATGGAAGAATAGTTATTCCGACATCTCTGGCTATAGAGATTATTCAAAACTTTCATAATGGTACACATACTGGAAGAGATAGTAAGGAAGAATCTATTAGGAAACATTTCTATATACCAAGGTTATCTAGTCTGACTCAAGCCATAGTTCGGAGATGTGCTCTGTGTGCCCAAAATAATGCAAGACAAGGCCCTGTCAAACCCCCTGGAGTTCAATATATGGGAGGACTCCCAATGTCAGATTTGCAAATAGATTACACTGTGATGCCTAAATCTGGGGGATATCGTTATTTGTTGGTAGCTGTGTGCACCTACTCAGGCTGGGTTGAAGCTTGTCCAACTCGTACAGAAAAGGCAGGAGAAGTTGTACGATTTCTGTTGCGAGAAGTTATACCCAGATATGGACTTTCGTGTTCTATAGGATCAGATAATGGCCCAGCCTTTATTCATCAGTGTTTGCAACAACTAACTCATGTGCTTGGTATCAAGTGGAAACTTCATACAGCATATAGACCTCAGAGTTCTGGAAAGGTGGAAAGGATGAACAGAACAATAAAAACCCAGTTGGCTAAAATGTGTCAGGAAACTCAGCTCAAGTGGAATGTCCTTTTGCCAATAGCTCTGTTGCAAATACGTAGTACGCCTACCAGAAGGATGGGTTTGTCTCCCTTTGAAATTATGTATGGACGTCCACCTCCCATACTAAGTAATCTAAGGGGGGGACTTAAATCAGTTGGGTGAAGGAATTACTCGGCAGCAGGTTGTAGAGTTGGGTAAAACTATGGAGGAGGTGCAGAAATGGGTGCAAAATAGGTTACCTGTGAACATATATCCACCTGTTCATTCCTATCAACCAGGAGATCAAGTGTGGATAAAAGAATGGAATATTGTTCCATTAGGTCCAAAGTGGAGGGGTCCTTATGTTGTTCTTTTATCTACCCCAACAGCTGTAAAGGTGGCAGAGGTGACTCCGTGGATTCATCATTCTAGGGTTAAACCAGCGGCAGACTCTTGGCAAGCTATCCCAGATCCTGAGAATCCTTGCAAGATCCGGTTGAAGCGTGCAACTCAGTCGGAGTGACATGGAGATATTGGGACATCTAGAGTAACTATAGAGATCAGCAAAGTAGGTGTTTTGACGGCCATAATAAAGCCTGACCACCTGCCTACGTGTCATAGCCAGAGGGATCTCTGTGAAGGAAAGTGAGGATCAGAAAAACAACATCCTCGCAGCCCTCACAATCGGGAAGCTGAGGGGCCATTGCACGGTCGCACGGTCGAAGAAAAATGAGGATTTCAGGAATAATGTGTTTTATTGTGTCTTAGTATTTTTATGATTTTTCAGGAAGGTAGGAGTACAGACATACCGAATTGCGATAGTTGCATTAAGACTACTAAAACAGGTAACCAAATATCCCAAACTCTCATCTGGCACTCACAGTATGAATGTAAGGGATCTGTATCTAAATGTAGATATTTGGATATTGATTATAGTGTGTGCAAGCCAATATCAGGAGAGTCTAAATGTTTTGATCCCCATTTCCAACCCCGTACAATTTGGTTGGTAATTAGGAATAGTAATTCCCAGGGAACTTTGATAAATAGGACTGTGATAAGCACCATACATTCTACGGGTGTTCTGCTATTTGATGCATGTAAGGCGATTTCTGGTAGTAGAAAACCTTGGAATGTATGTGGTAATCTTAAATGGGAACGAACTTATGGGTTTAATGATAAATACTTATGTCCCAGTAAAAGATCTACTGATCCTGTTTGCTCAAATAGAGATTATAATTTTTGTCCCTATTGGTCTTGTGTAGGGTGGGCAACCTGGGGAAAAACAGTGGATCCAGATATGATTATCCAAAGGTTGCCTACCACACCATACTGTAAATCTATGGAATGTAATGCGGTCCATATGACCATCTCTAATCCCCAGCATTTTATTGACAAATTTGGAAATATTTTTGTGTTCCAAATACATGGCACAGGAGTAGATCCAGGAACAATAATATATGTAGGTCTTGAAACTGAGACAGTGGCAACTCAAACTCATCAGGTTTTTCATTCCTTCTATGAGGAGATGAGTGTTGAGGATAAAGTCCCCCATAATGTTAAGAACCTATTTATTGATTTGGCTGAGAGTATTGCGGGTAGTCTTAATGTAACTAATTGCTATGTGTGTGGAGGTACTAATATGGGAGACCAGTGGCCATGGGAGGCAAACGAAATATGGTACCCTGGCTCTGAGACATATGAACAACAGATACCTTTTCAGTCTGATCATCAAGTAAGTACTAGAAGTAAATCAGAATGGCAGTTAAAAACCTCCATTATAGGTCATGTTTGTATAGCTAGGAAAGGGACAATGTATAACACGTCTGTAGGTGAGCTAACTTGCTTGGGACAAAAAGCCTATAATGTTAATACTAAAAATACTACTTGGTGGTCAGCTTCAAATGTCTCGGATCTACTAATCCGTTTGCCAATTACACTCATTTAAAGGAGGTATGGTTTGACTTATCTGCTACATCTAGTTGGAAAGCCCCAGCAAATTTATACTGGATCTGTGGTAGGAAAGCTTATTCGGAGTTACCACAAGATTGGGAAGGGGCATGTGTATTAGGTATGCTCAAGCCATCCTTCTTCTTGTTGCCAATTGAGACAGGAGAGACCTTGGGAGTTAAGGTTTACGATGTAAATCATAAAAGGAAGAGAGCATCCTTGAATATAGGTAGTTGGGAAGATGATGAGTGGCCCCCTCAACGTATTATTAATTATTATGGACCTGCTACTTGGGCAGAAGATGGCACTTATGGATATAGAACTCCGATATATATGCTCAACCGCATTATTAGACTACAGGCAGTGGTTGAGATTATTACTAATGAGACAGCTCAAGCGCTTAATCTTCTAGCTAAGCAAAATACCAGGATGAGATCAGCCATCTATCAAAATAGATTAGCTTTAGATTATCTATTAGCAGTGGAAGGAGGTGTATGCGGAAAGTTTAACCTTAGCAACTGTTGTTTGCATATAGATGATGAAGGGCAGGCAGTGGCTGAACTTACTAGTCACATGGTTAAATTTGTGCATGTACCGACTCAGGTCTGGAATGGGTATAATCCTAGTAGTTGGTTTGGAAGCTGGTATGAGCAGCTTGGAGGAATTAAGACATTAGTCGGAGGAGTAGTGTTTATCATATTCTTATGTCTTTTTCTGCCTTGTCTAATTCCATTAGTGGTAAGGTCCCTACGCAGTATTATAGAGAGTACTATAGAGAGAAAGACAGCGGCTCATGTAATGGCTGTCTATAGATATGATCCCCTAGCCCGAAGAGAATATATTCAGGATGAGTTTGTTGAAGGAGTTTTTAAGATGCTTACAAGGTCTACTCTGGTTCAATGGCTACTTGAGAGATGTAGGTAAAACTGTGATTGGTGATGCATCTGGAATAATGTTATATCAGAGGCATCAAAGGGGGGAATGTGATGGGATTCCAGCATGGTCAAAATTTAGTAGGCCAAGATTTCCATGTGGCATATGTGTATGTTGTGTCAGTTGGTTAGCTACATGTAGCTAGGATACTGTCATCAGTGTACTGAGCATGTGCAGGAATGCAGGAACTGAAATTGCACTTATTTCCTTTGTCTTGGATGAGCCATGTGGTTTGACTAGATGTACAAGTCTATATTCTGCTCATTGATTGGTTAAAGGTATATGTGGGTGTAGCTATTAATGGGAGGAGTTATAGTGCTATATAAGGAATGTACACTATGTGTTGGTCTCTCAGAATGTTGGAACAGGAGTTCATCTGAGACCCGATCGGTAATGTGAATAAAGGCCTCTTACTTCCTGAAGACTTGTGTCCATATCTCTGTGTGTGGTTTCTGCATGCTTACATGGTTACACTGCGACCCCGGTATGTACGCCACTGAATGTGGGGCCCGGGACGACCTGAGCAGTCCGGGCCCCCCATGCCCTGATGGCGGCCCTGCTGCTTACTGTATGTGGCAGCGATGCCTCATTCTGTTTACTGTATTTTGGCCCACACAGGCCATATTGACTGTTATCATATGCATTTTAGTTAGTCAACCTGCAATTTCATGTTTCATGCTACTTTTTAAAGTTTTTTGTCTGTCCTGGGTATTCATGCACTTTTTGGGCCTTCATTGTTTAGTAATTATGTGGCTAGGTGTTGCAACTGACTGTCTAAATTTATGTCATGCCCAAACTTGGGCCTGTACATGTGGTAAAGGAAATTAAAATATAAACTTGTATATACATTCTCTGTACACATTAATGTAAAATTCCTTATTTTCTGTAAAGGGGAATATCTTCTAAATGTCTTAAATCTTCTTACTAAATGACCTCAAATTAATAAAACTGTATCATATGCATTTCAGTTAGTCACCCTACATTTTAATGCTCGTCTGCCCTCTTGGTATTCAGGTACTCATTGGGCCAACATTGTTTGGTAATTCACTGTTTAGTAGAAATGCCCCAATGGACAGCTTGCATGCATTTAATTATGTAATTTTCATTGGGGGTATAATCTTAAACAGCTAGCTAAACCTGCAGTTCTCTTGTCTGCTGCTTTTGCGTTCTCTCACTTTCTAACACCACCCAGACTTTCTTTGTACGGCCTACATGCATTAGGAACGTCATTCAGCCATGTTCAGTTTAAGCAATGACGTTTTATATCCGATGCTAATACTACTGAGATATTCCAGCATTATTCTAGCATTTCCTGTTGCTTTCAAACCTAATCTTCAATGCCAGCTGTGTCTGCATAAGTATTTATCATCCTCCAAAGCATTCCACATAAAAGTCTTTTTAACCCCTAAGGGACGACGAGCGTTCTATGCCGTCCTTTTTCGGTCGGTCCTAAACGCCGACGGGTGGCATAGAACGTCCCCGTCAACCAGGGCACTTACTGGGTCCCCGCCGATCCCAAGCCGGCGGTCGTGATCCTGTGGTCTGCTTGGGAGCTCAGGCAGTCCCCTCCTGCCCAATCCGCCCCCCCCCAGCAATGTGATTGCGGGGTCCTTGCAATCTCATGGCTGGAATAGCTGGCTTATGCAGTGCCTACAGGGGGCCGGCTCGTTAAGTTTTTAAAGTTAATAAAAGTTAATAAAAAGTTTAATAAAGTAAATAAAAGTACTTGGATCATATATATATTTACAAACATAAACCATTAATAAAAGTGTATTTTAATATTCATATATATATAATATATATGAATATTAAAATACACGTAGAATGACGTAGTTAATTATATATTTATATATATAAAATAAAAATAATCAATTAATAAATTGAAAAGAAAAGAAATAGAACAAATTAAAACTGGTATATAATTTAGAAAAAAAACTGGAACTGCCCAGCAGGTGGTGCCTGGAACACCTTTGAGGAACACAGTGGACTCTTGAATTCCTACCAATCTGCCTCCACCTTCTGTGCTTGCTGTGCCGCGGTCGGAACGCCAGGCTTCAACGCATAAGTGCGGTGTTCCCTCCTCGGTTAGTCATTCAGGTCCCACGTTGGGGGGTTCCTCTCAGGTCTTTGTGGGTTTCTAGATCAGTGGGAGCGGGCGGCAGTTAACGGGGAGTCCTTTATGGATAGTCAACTCAGGTCTGTTTGGTCCCCAGCCCAACAAACACCCTCTGCGTGGTCCTCGGGGCCCTCTGAATCCGTCCTTAGTTGGTAGTGGTCCGTTGCCTTCTTGCTCTGTTGCTAGTACAGCGTCTTGCTCTGTTGCTAGTACAGGTGTAGCTTCCCACGAGGCGGGCGTTTTGGACGTTGCGCGGGACGCTGCTTATATGTGCTGGTTTGGCCCGCTGGTCTTGCACTTGAAGCAGGAAACTAGGGAGAAGATTTGGAAAGGGGAGTTCGTATAAATATTTTCCCTCCTGCCATTGGAGGAAGCTCCCCCCTTGGTCGAAAAGGACAGCATGGAGTCCGAGAAGGACAGGGAGATATACCCAAGAAGTTTGGTAATTGGATACAGGCATTTTCTATCCCGGCTAGCGTCGTTGGGGAGAAATCTTCCCAGAAATGCTCTGCGCTGTTCTCCTATCAGGACATCCTCCTCCTCATTGGCCCTCAATCAGAGGCTGTGCTGTGGTTGGAAATTCAGTGACAGTCACTGTAAGTGGGGGTCCTCGTGCCGGTTCAAGCACAAGTGCTCCAGGTTGTGGTGGTGCCCATCCCATCTCCTGTTGTTTCAAGGGGGGCAAAACTGGCAAAAAAGGGTTCGTGGGGGCTAAGGGCAACAACTCCGGTAGTCGTAAACTCGATGCGCCCGTAGCTCGATCTTTTTAAGGATCGTCGAGCTGCACGGATCATATTGGAGGGTTTTGAGCAGGGTTTTTGGATTCCATTTTTGGAGCACCCTCCCTCTCTCTCGGTTCGTAACCTTCAGTCTGTACAGGAATTCCCTCAGGTGGTTGGGAGAAGCTTGATAAGTAAGTCTCCTAGGGCTGGATGGCCGGCTTAGACGTGGTTCCCAAGAAGGAACAAGGAAAATACTGCCTGATTCATCATTTGTCGTACCCTCCTGCTCACCACGGCGGCCGGCTTTAATATTTCCTGGGCGGCTTAGCAAAGGGCTGACAAATCCCAGGCGCCAGGGTGAACTTTCTAGTCGCCATGGTGACCTGGCCCCTGACATATAAAAAAAAAAAAAATATATATATATATATATATATATATATATATATATAACACGTTTTATAACTGTCTATTTTTGTCCCTGGCCCCTCATGTGCCCCTCCCCCCAAATACAAATTGTAGATTATACTAGCTTTAGTGTAACTATAATCTTAATTTTATTAACCCCTTAATGACACAATTTCTGGAATAAAAGCGAATCATGACGGAATATTTCCGTCATTTGTCCTTAAGGGGTTAATGTCAGGAGGCGAATATTTGCTTAAGTCTCTTTTTATTAGAACTCCACAGCAGCACATTAACATAGAGAGAAAAACCAATCACAAAACAGTAAGGAAACCATAAAAGGCCCCTCCCAACCAACTATTTCCTCCTTCAAGCTGCAACAAAATAGATAAATGAACAATATACAACTCAATAATAATAAAAGAAGAAATAAAACAAAATAAATCAATGACCGCCATCCGAAACTTGTAACGTGGATCCAGAGGATAAAACCTTGACCTTTATACTGAAGAATATCCGGATCTAAGAACCGTAGTCGAACCATTAAACTGAAACGAGATAAACAGAATCAAAAACTCTGATTAGTGAATGAAATGTGTTAAGACACTCACAGCTTAAATGGATGAAACTGCCGTTTAGCCGATCTTCCCCTTTTCACAGAGACACAGGCTCTGTACAGTACACCGCCAAACTCCCGAACGGCCCTTTAAGAACCATCTGGGGACATACTGTGACTTTTGGGAACAATGCCCCTTTAAGACTATGGCCCTTGGAAGATATTGCCTGTTAAAGACTATTTTAGCAGATTGGATTTTAAAAGACTTGCTGCCCCTTTAAATTGTATTGGAGCAGTTCTGCAGCTTTAAATTAGCACTTCGGATGCAGCCGAAGTAGTCGAAGTGGCCGCCATTCGACAAACGAACACGTGGTGGCGGCGGCCATCTTTAATTCAGCTGAAGTTTTACCTTCTCCAGACTTCAATGCATTCGACAGTTCGAACGCCATTCGACAGTTCATTCAACAGTTCGACAATTCGAATGGTTGTCGTTCGTCTGTTTGAACTGACTTTAACATGGGAAATAGACCGACCGCATAGCCTGATTCTCTGGAACTGTTTTGGGCACGAAAATGTGCTTGCGGTCGCTTAAACTTGTCTTATATCTATCTCCCGAACGGCTGAACGGATTCGAATGAATGTTTATATTTGAAATGTGCTGATTAATAATATGTAATTTATGAAGATTGGATGTACATTTTTAAAGTTATAGTACTTATATAAAAACTGTATTTTTCCTGCTTGTGATAATTATATTAACCCATTGTGTACCATAATTATATCACAGGCAGAGGGGAGGATTTTGTGTATAATTGCTGGGAGTGTTTTCTGAAATGTACGTGTGTTATTGGTTGTTCTGTAAAACCCTGTGGGCAGTACTAAGTTTGTGGATTGGGAATAAAAGAGGCTGTATGTGCCAGTACAGTCAGTTCTGCTTGACCTCAAAACAAGTGTCGTCTTGTTATTGGGGGAATTGGATTGTATGCTGATTGCCAGGAGTGTAAGCTGATTGTATGCTTTCCTGTTCAGCTGCTTACAGCATTCATATGCTTGAGAGCATTCATATGCTTCTCCGGTTCAGTGGTTGTGGTGTCTGCTTCAGTGCTTGGAGTCCTCAGGAAGCGCTAGGAACATCCTTCAACGGAGGTACCCAGTCGGAGTGCCAGGTGATCCGTTACACTTAGGTTTAAGCACTCCCCTTTATACAAGTAAATCCCTCCTCTCTATCCTGGAGATAATTGGGAAGAAATCCAATTATCTCCAAGGATAGAGGCAATCCGCTATTTTACATGAAACATTAAAAATGCATAAAAATACAGAACTATAAAAATACCGAATACATTGGATTCATGTAACATATCCCCAGATAGCCTGGATCTGAGCGCACATAACTACCGAATAGCGCTCAGACCCCATGCACACAGTTCAATCGCCATGGAGTCAAAGTCTTTCACACTGTCCTTTCGGTATACGAATGACTCCAGGGGTTGAGTTAAGCTGGGTTAAGTCCTGAGCTGGGTTAAGTCCATTCGTATCATCCAAACTCCCGAACGGACCGGTGTTCGGTAGGAAAAAGTGTTTATTTATAGTTCCATAAGTTCCTCGTTGAA